GATTATAGGCATGCACCACCATGCCTGACTAATAAGGTAATTCTTCTTTTTTTTTTTTTTTTTTTTTTTTTTTGCGGAACCAGGGATTGAACTCAGGCCCTTGTACTTGCCAGGCAAGCGCTTATTCTACTAGGCCATCTCCCCGGCCCTCTAATAAGGTAATTCTTAAAAAGGCAGTGGAGTGGTGGTAATGGTACATGTCTGTAATCCCAGCACTTGGGAGGCTGAGGCAGAGTACCCCCACAAGTTTGGAGACATCCTGGGCTACATAGTAAGCTCAAGGCCAGTCTGAACTACAGACCCTGTCTTAAAAAAATAAGCAATGGAAATAATCCCAGCTACTCAGGAGTCTGAGGCAGGAGGATTAAAAATCCAAGGCCAGCCTGTAAAACTAAGCAGGACCTTGTCTCAAAAAAAAAAAGGGACTTGTTATGCAGTTTGGGCTGGCCTTGTGCTCACTTTTGTAGCCCCCAGGGTGGTCTTAAAATCACAGAGATACTCCTGTCTCAACCTCCTGAGTGCTAGGATTATAGGCATGCACCACCACACCCAGGTCTGGGGCCTAATCAATAGGGCTGGGTTGGGGAACCTGGGTTTCTGGGGTCAGCATGGCTTGTGGGACTTTTTTTTTTTTTTTTTTTTTTGCAGGCCTTAGGATGCCTTTAGGGCATTTCTGGTTTGGCGTGAGTACCTAGGTTCGAAGCACAGCACCTGAGCCTGACTGTTTTGTTTTAGCAGGCACTTAAACAACTGAGCTAATGGGCAGGCTTGTGGGGTTGGGATTGAACTTCATACCCTGTGCTTGCCAGATAGGTGCTTATGCCTCTGAGCTTTCTCCCCAGCCCCTCAAAATGAAATTTATTTATTTATTTGTGTCCACAGATTTTTAAAAAATGTTTATTTATTTATTTATTGTGTGTGTGTGTGTGTGTGTGTGTGTGGCCAGCTCAGCCCACCAGGGGGCGGGGCTGGCTGGCATGTGGTGCTGGGGGATTGAACCGTGGCTCCTGTGCTTTTGCTTAGCTTAGCTTGTTCTAAGTAGGTGCTTTAGACCACTGAGCCATCTCACCAGCCCTCAAAATGAAATTTAAAAGGCCTGCAGATATAACTCAGTGATATAATACTCCCCTAGTTTGCCTGAAGAGTGGGGCCAGTCCCCAGTAACACACACACACACACACACACACACACACACACACACACACATAGAATAATCAAAGACAAAAGTTGTCTAGAAAAAGGGCCCTAAAGTAGTAACTATTTTAATATCTGCCAGATTCTAACTAACGATGTTTTATTATTAATTTAATTGATTCCTCACAAAAATCTGTTTGAGGTAAGCACTGTGGTACTTCATGGTCAGAGGTTTAGAGAAGTTAGGAGGATTCCTAAGATCACACAGTATGTAAATAGTAAAACCAGTATTCAAAACCAGGTCTGAGGGACAGCCAAAGAGCTTAGTTAAAGAGGCGAAGGGATTAAAGAGGCGAAGGGACTGGGGTTCAATCACCTGGCCTGCTGTGCTGGCCCACCCCTGGGGGCACGCTGTGATGGCAGACTGGGTGTGGTGGCATGTGCCTGTATTCCCAGCTCTTGGGAGGCTGTACACAGGCAGATCACTAGGAGTCCCATCTACTAGTGAGACCCTGAACACCCTGTAGACCCTTCCTTAAAATACAAACAAAACAATACAAAACATAAAATCAGGCCCATCTCTAGGGCTCTTGATCGTTATCAAACTATACAGAGGGATGTCTTGGTTACTTCACTCATTCAATCCTTCACTTATTTACTAGCTAGGGAGCCGGCGTTATATAGCTCAGCAGCATGCTGCCTGCCTGGCAAGTGTGAGATCCTGAATTTAATTCCTTGTACCAAAAAAAGAAAAAGTGTATTCACTAGATGGAGCTTACAAAATGCTCGATTTAGGGCCGGGGAGGTGGCTCAGTAGAATAAGCACTTGCCTGGCAAGCGTAAATGCCTGAGTTCAATCCCCGGTTCTGCAAAAAAAAGAAAAAAAAAAAAGCTCAATTTGTGGCAAGACAAAATCTCTCCCTTTAAGGGGCTTTCAAGTACAGTGGAGAAGGCATGATGCGTCCAAGGGATGGCTTTGGCTCTTTTTTTTTTTTGGTTGCAGAGATCGAACTCAGGACATTGTACTTTCCAGGCAGATGCTTACGCTGCTGAGCCATATCCCCAGCCCTGGCCTTCTGCTTTTGTATGTAAGGACCAGTTAGAGATTCATTCATTCATGCAACACATGCTGAGAATGTGCTATGTGTCAGGTCCTATGCCTGTGCCACGCACTGGGAATTACTGCAAGACAAATATAGTATAGTCTAGTTATAATCTAATGAGGAGACATATCGTACATTAGGATAAGTAAAAGGAATTAAGTTACTGTAAAAATATTTAAAAAGTACAGGGTAGAAGAAGCTAACTGTGTTGGAGATGCAGGTGGGGGTGGCAAGTGGATCCATCTAGTGCTTTCAGAATGGAAAAGAGCACAGAAAATGTGCAATGGCCATTTGGAAGGAGTGTGCTTTTTCTGGGAGGATAAGAGAATGGAGGAGGTGGCATGTGAGCTGATGGTTGGTGGTAACTTTCAAGTATGGGAGTTGGAAGAGAGAGATACTGGAGGCCTAGAAGTCATTTACAAGGGCCTGATAGTAGGTCTGCTGGGAGGAGGCCAGGGACAGTGACAGAGATGGGATGGAATGGAGAGGGATGTGGAGAGGATGGGGGTGGGGGTCAAAAGGAAAGCCAGGTGTGGTGAATCTGGGGCTAGTAATAAATTTAGCCCTTCCTTCAAGTACCCTCCAAAGAGAACCTGGTGGTGCATAGGTCACTTGAGCCTTTGTGGTTTTGTTTTTGGTACTAGGGATTAAATCAAGGAAGCACTGACCTACATTCCTAGCCTTTTTCACTTCATTTTGTTTATTTAAAGTCAGGTCTCAAGCTGTTCAGACTAGCTTTGACTTTGTGGTTCTCCTGCCTCAGCCGCCCAAGAAGTTGGAATTATAGGAATGCATGATCATGCCCAAGCACATCGGTCCTCTGACACGGAGAGGCGGAGCTCCACAGTCTCTGGTGGCCTAGAGCACCATACGAAACTTGGAGTGGCCAAGTCATGTTGTTGGCCTTAAAATTCAGTGAGTCTGGGATTATCATCAAAGGATGAATGGTAGGGCACTTGGACCCCCAGTGCTGAGGGTTTTTTTGTTTCTTTGGTGTGTTTATCGTGATGCTAGAGCTCAAACCCTGGGCTTCGCATATGCTAAGCAAATGCTCTTCCACAGTGGTGAATTTAATGTTCTTCATTCTCAGACGCTCATTTACATCTACTCTGTGCCCAGCTATGCCAAGAAACCAACCTTAGCATATGAATAAGATCTGTTAGATTGGCACAAATGGTCTCAGATTAAGAAGGAGAGATAGGAATGTAGCTCAGTGGTGCTAAATTTGCCTAGTATGTGTGAGGCCCTGGGTCCATTTCCTAGCACCAAGAATGAAATAAGATAAAATAAAAGATTCGATCCCCAGCACCACATGCTGCACCACCCCACCAACAGGTGTGCTGAGCTGGCTGCTGAGTCTGGGCATGGTAGCCCAGCACTTGGGAGGCTGAACATAGGGTCACTACGAGTCTGAGCTGCGTAGTGAGACCATGTGCCAAATACATAAATTAAAAATAAATACATAAACAAACAATTCACAAAAAAACCTTATCTGACTACTACTTCTCCACTTTTTCCACTACCGTTCCTCTTACAGTATGGCAAGTGTTGTAGGCAGATGTATGAGAGGAAGTCATTGATTCCAGCAGGGAATCGGGGCAGGCTTCCTGGAGGTAGTGGTTTTCCAGCTGAGGCAGTATGAGGCGAAATTCTTCCAGTTGTGGGAGTGACAGAAGGCTAATCTTCCAAGTGAATGAGGGAGAAGCTTCCCACCATCACTTTGTGGTAAGTTGCCCAGGGGGGGAATAGAGTGAAGGGTCCCAAAAGGAAAAGGGCCGCAGTGGTTTGACAAAGCACTTGAAGAACCTTTGAGTCCAGCTGGAGCTCAGACTTTTGAACTTCCAGAGCGTTCTGTGGGAAATCGCTTTTTCAGCCTCCTGCAGGGGCCGCTGCTGCCCCAGGCTGGGACTACTGCCTCTGGACTCAGCCAATCTGAGAAAACTGAGGATATCTTTGATGGGTTAGTGGCAGCGCACTCCAGGGTAGTAGGGGCTCCAGTGCCCCCAAGTCTGAAGGAATCATCTGAGCTCAGCCAATGGCACTGGGGGAGGGTGTATAGTGGGCATTGATATTCTTTCTGTCTTTGGGTCACCACAAGTTTATTAAAATAAAAGAAACTGTAGGTAAACGCTGCCATCTGTGCTGCCTCCCCAACACACACACACACACACACACACACACACACACACACACACACACATCAAGTCCCCGACTAGACACAGGGACTGAGACTGTTTTAAAAACACTCCAAGGACTTCGCTGAAAACCCACACTCCCTGTGCTTCTGCGGCTTCAGATCTCTGAGCTCACTTCTCGGCGTGGCTCTGCAGGGTGGTGGGGTGGGCCATTCCAGGAGGTGGAGGTGAAGACCCCTGAGTCTGCTCCGGGGATTGGGAGGCCCCCTAAGCCTCAAGTCCCGCTGTGGGGCTCGGTGCCAAAAGCCCCCGTGAGCCGTGGCCTCCAAAGGGCAGCGGTGATTTTTTTCACATAAATATATCGCACTTAAATGAATTTAGACAGCATGACATCAGAGAGTAATTAAATTGGTTTGGGTTGGAATTCCGTTTCCAATTCCTGAGTTCAGGTTTGTAAAAGATTTTTCTGAGCACCTGCAGAACGTGTGTGTGTGTGTGTGTGTGTGTGTGTGTGAAGTATTTTCACTGGAAAGCATTCAAAACTAGAGGAAAAAAAAACTGGAGCACACAGGCAGCATTACGCCATTCTTCCTTCTTGGAAAAATCTCTCAGCCTTATACAAGCCTCCTTCAAGCTCTCAGTCGGTTGTGCGGGAGAAGGGGGCGGTCGGCTTTCTCCTTTCAAGAACGAGTTATTTTCAGCTGCTGACTGGAGACGGTGCACGTCTGGAGACAGGAGCATTTCCACTATGGGACTGGATACAGACCCACACCCGGCGGACTGCAAGAGTCTCAGATTGAGGAGAAAGCCCTTCCTGCTGCTGCCACTGCTTCTGAAGATCCACTCCTTTCATGGTTTTTCCTGCCAAGCCAGAGGCACCTTCGCTGCTGCCACTGTTCTCTTTGGTGTCATTCAGCGGCTGGCCAGAGGATGAGACTCCCCAAACTCCTCACTTTCTTGCTTTGGCACCTGGCTTGGCTGGATCTGCAACTCATCTGCACTGTGTTGGGTGCCCCTGACTTGGGCCAGAGATCCCCGGGGGCCAGGCCAGGACTGGCCAAAGCGGAGGCCAAAGAGAGGCCCCCCCTGGCTCGGAACATCTTTAGGCCAGGTGGTCACAGCTACAGTGGGGGGGCCGCCAATGCCAGGGCAAAGGGAGGAGCTGGGCAGACACAGGCCAAGAAAGATGAACCCAAAAAGCTGTCCCCTAGATCTGGTGGCCCTGATACCAAGCCAGGATCCCCTCCTCAGATCAGGCAGGCTGCATCACGGACTGTAACTCCAAAAGGACAGCTTCCTGGGGGCAAAGCACCCCCCAAAGCAGGACCTGTCCCCAGCTCCTTTCTGCTGAAGAAGTCCAGGGAGCCTGGGCCCCCCCAAGAGCCCAAGGAGCCATTCCGCCCGCCCCCCATCACACCCCACGAGTACATGCTCTCGCTGTACAAGACGCTGTCCGATGCTGACAGAAAGGGAAGCAACAGCAGCGTGAAGTTGGAGGCTGGCCTGGCCAACACGATCACCAGCTTTATTGACAAAGGGCAAGGTGAGGGGGTAGGGTGGCAGGGAGGGACATGTGCATGTGCTGAGGGGCTTCCAGAGCTCTGAGGCCGCTACACAGGCCAGGGACAGTGTGTGCATCTGGCCTGGGGTGGGTGACTGGAACTTATCTCACACAGGCTGCTGGTATGTTAGCCCTGGCAGGTACCTCGGGTTCACCAAGTCCAATTCCTGCAAGGTGCAGAGGGAGGCACTAAAGCCCAGAAAGGAGATAAGATGTGCTAGTTGATGGCAGAATCGACTCTTGATTACTGAGCCATGCTCTGTACCTATGTGCGTTGGCCAAACTTTCCAAGCTCCAGAGTTTTCTCAGTGAAGAGAGAAATGGATCTTGAAGCCAACATGCCTCCCCCCACGAGTTAGGGATCAGAAAGACATCATAGGTGAAGACAGTAAAGGGGGCATCTTGGAGGTGATGGAGGCAGTGAAAAGAGGCAGCAGACTTAAAATCTGACTGTGAAAGCCCTTTCCCACCTTGAAGCCTCAGTTTTTACCACATGTATACAGGTACAGGGGCTGGTCTGGGTGTTTTTGAGAGCTTTTCCTATGTGAAAAGTTTGTATCTTATCTTAAACACAGATCATTTTATCATTAACCCAGGAGAACACCTGCTGTCCTCACTTCTCCCTCTGCCCAACTTGTGCGGCTGCCTCAGCTTCCTCTGTGGGTTTGCCATGGGACCTCATGTTCACCATAGTGTGAAGAGGAAGATAGACCAGTGGTAGACTAGGTTGCGTGAAGCTCCTGCGCTCTGGCTCTGATCTTGGGGCTTCGGCTGGCGGGGTGGGGGAGGAGCAGAGTGGGAGAGGCTCCTCATTAGAGCCGGTCTGTAGGGGGAATGACACCGGTGGAGGGGGAGGCACAGGGGCTGCAGGTCTGGCGGAGGTGGGGGAGATGGCCTGGCTGCCTGCCCAGCCAAGGAAAGCTGTGACCCCTTGGGGGCTCATAAAATAAGTCTTTGTGCCCCCCAGCACTAAGGGAGCATGGGGAGAGGGATATGGAGACTTTAAAGGCCTAATTAGTTACCTTCTAGAGCAATATATGAATGTTCCCTAATGGCAAATTGGTATTTAGAAAAGCAGGCTTGCTGATTCAGAGATGCCGCTGCTACTACTCTCTCTCCCCTTCTTCTGTATACACATGGAATCATACACATACATACATGCACACTCTTCAAATATTCACACAAGGCCAAATATACGTATGTGTAACATGTCACTCACATACATCTTACTTGCATATTCACAAATGAACTCAATTATACACACACACACACACACACACACACAAATTGTCACACAAAAATTATTAGACTAGAAAGCCAACGAAGTTGGGTTGTAGACCTAGCTTTGTCGTTAACTTGCTGTGTGAACTAAATTAAGTCACTTCTCATCTCTGTGCCTCATCTGTAGAACAAGAACACTCTCTCTTAAGGTATAGTGGAAGCAGCTCAGGATGGGCTATAAAAACTCAAAGCTAGAATTCCAACTCTATGTTTTCCTAGCTAGGTGATTTTGAACAATTTGCCTAGCTTTCTCTGAACTTTAGGTTCCTCCTCTGGTAAAAGAGTAATTTTAATGCACATCCCACCTATCTCCTAAATGAGTTATCATGTTAGATCATGGATGAGGGAGAGAAACAAACAAGAGGGATCGAGGACAGTTGTAAGGTTGGTGGCTCTAATTCACAGAGATCATTGTCCCAAACACCTGGAGTCACGCAAATCATCCACAGCCACATCTACAGATAAACATCCCTACTTGGTTGGCAATGTAGGACGCTTCCTTATTTTGAAAAAGGCATTTAGTGGCTTGGGGTGTCAGCCTCTGTAAGAGTAGGGAAAAGGTCAAAGAAAGCTCTCTTGAGGGGAAGAGAGCTGGAGCCCTCCCCTGAGGCCTGGAGGTGACTGGCTCTGCTGGTGAGGTTGCAGAAATTGACTTCTGTCTGTTCTCTCTAGATGATCGAGGCCCTGTGGTCAGGAAACAGAGGTACGTGTTTGACATTAGTGCCCTGGAGAAGGATGGGCTGCTGGGGGCCGAGCTGCGGATCTTGCGGAAGAAGCCCTCAGACACAGCCAAGCCAGTAGCCCCCGGTGGCGGGCGGGCTGCCCAGCTGAAGCTGTCCAGCTGCCCCAGCGGCCGGCAGCCGGCAGCCTTGCTGGATGTGCGCTCTGTGCCAGGCCTGGATGGGTCTGGCTGGGAGGTGTTTGACATCTGGAAGCTCTTCCGAAACTTTAAGAATTCAGCGCAGCTGTGCCTGGAGCTGGAGGCCTGGGAGCGTGGCAGGGCTGTGGACCTCCGTGGCCTGGGTTTTGACCGGGCTGCCCGGCAGGTCCATGAGAAGGCCTTGTTCCTGGTGTTTGGCCGCACCAAGAAACGAGACCTATTCTTTAATGAGATTAAGGCCCGATCTGGCCAGGACGATAAGACTGTGTACGAGTATCTGTTTAGCCAGCGGCGGAAAAGACGGGCCCCACTGGCCACTCGCCAGGGCAAGCGACCTAGCAAGAACCTCAAGGCCCGCTGTAGTCGGAAGGCGCTGCATGTCAACTTCAAAGACATGGGTTGGGATGACTGGATCATCGCACCCCTTGAGTATGAGGCCTTCCACTGTGAAGGGCTGTGTGAATTTCCCTTGCGCTCTCACCTCGAGCCCACAAACCATGCAGTCATCCAGACCCTGATGAACTCTATGGACCCCGAGTCCACACCACCTACCTGCTGTGTACCCACGCGGCTGAGTCCCATCAGCATCCTCTTCATTGACTCAGCCAACAACGTGGTGTATAAGCAGTATGAGGACATGGTCGTGGAGTCTTGTGGCTGCAGGTAGCAGCACTGGCTCTGTCTTCTGGGGTAGCACATTCTGAGAGTCCCTCTTCACACTCTTGGAATCCCAGCAGGTTGCACTCGAAGCAGCCAGAAGTATCTACATGACCTGCATGAAAGGAGATTCCATCAGCCTTGTTTACTCTGAGGGTAACTTGGGCTAAAGCTCCCCTTTATTCCACAAGTCTCCCTGAAGATTTCTGCTCTTCTGCTGCTCTGACTGACAGGGACAACCCCAGGGGATAGACTATGAATGAGACACTTAGAAGACAGTGTTTTCCAATGAGACTCAGCCTGCCGTCTCCCCTTACCTGAGGCTTCTTGGCCTCTGAACTATCCAGGGGACCAGGTGCTAGTCCAAGCATCTCCTGAGAGAGCCACTGGTGCCATTTCTTCCTTGAGTCACTTTTGTGCCTGGCGACTTTCTGCCCTTGAGGCGGATGAGACGCTGTTTGGGCTGGGGTTGGAGATAGCGGGAGAGGGCTTGGGCAGAGGTGAGATGTATGAGGCCATTAAACTGTTAGATTAAAATGTACATTAATGACATAAAAAGCAAAACTGTTCCTAAAACTGCAGCAGACTTCTTTATTCAAGGGGACTCATGACCCTTCCAAGAATTCCTAACCCACAGAGGGAAGGTGGGTTGCCTCGTGTATATGGTCAGGCACCACCCCCACTCCTGGGAACTGAAGCAGAACCAGGCAGAGAGCACAGCTGGGCAGTGCCAGTGCTCACCTCTAACCTCATTCCTGTTCCTTCCAAGAGCCCATTGGTCCTATTTTTTTTTTTTTCCTGCTCTGTTGGGGCCTGGCAACAGAGTTAGATTTTTACATTCCTTAGTCAGGTTTGTTGTCTCCAAAACAGATCCTAAAATGAGAGGGATATTAGAGTTTTGTTTCCTTTAAAATCATCTTTAATTCACTCACCAGCATCTGTCCTGATCCCCCTTCCCTCCACGCTCCAGAATTAACTGGAGCCTTCTACTTCTCCACTGCAAAATACATGCTGCCAGGGATGGGCTGCCAGCAGTCCCCTCCTACCTATGGCGGCATCTGCTATTTGCCATAATTGCCGCTCCTCACAGGACCTTGTCTGGGGCCTAGCTGCCCCCCAGCTCTGCACTCTCACTGCTCATCCATCACCTCCTGCAGCTCCAGAGTCAGAACTGGAGCCCCTTCCTTTTACATTTACATTCTACAAGTACATACTTATATATTAGATAAATATACTCTCCACTGGCCTCAGGCAGACAAGTGCCAGGCACCTGCTGACAATCTTTCCTGCTTAGGGTTTGGCCCGGGTTAAATGTTTACTTCCTTTTATTGGCTAGACTCTTGGGAGAGGTATGGGTCTCAGACTTCGGGGAGAGGAACACAGCCACCTGGTGGGGAAATTTAGAGTCTTCGGTCTTCAGGGCCAGGCTCTACCTGGCTGAGGAGAGACAGGGGCAGGACCAGAAGTCCAAGCTTCTGGCTCTTACTCTTGGGGGCCTCAAAGATTTTTCCCTACCTTTCTGCCACTGAGCCTTTGATTTTTCAAGGCTCCTGGCCAGAGCTGTCTCAATAGTAGGGACTCTTGCCCAGCTGTGGGCAGATTTTGTGTCCCTTCCCTCCACTTCTGAAACATGGGTTGTCAGGGCCTGAAGCCCAATGCATGGGACAGCCTACCTTTGAGCCGCCTCCTTGGTTTGGAGACCTGTCCCAGAGGGGCCAATTTGAGTCTGGAGCCGAGCTCTCCTTGGCTGGGCTTTGTTGTGTTTGGCTAGTGGTGGCTCTGGGAACTGGAGATAAACAAAGGCGCTGCCATGGCAGAGAGAGTCCTGGTGTATGTAGAGGAGAATGAGCCTGAAGGGAGGTGTGGGGAGCCAAGAAGATAGCTATGGGTACAAGGAGAGCAGTATAGAAATTGGGTATAGGAAACGCAAGGGCAGACAGACAGAGAACAAAGGGATCATGGGTGGTATCAGATGCTGCAGTTCTGATTTCCTGGACTTTGTGTACCTTGTTTCTTGGCAACGTCTGACAGAACTGGAGCTTCTCTTCACCATAACCTCAGCAGAACATCATCTGTGCCCTCTTCAGTAGGCTTCTGCATGAAGGCCTAGGCTTTGAGTGGACATGAGACAGTCTGGAGGACCAGCCTGGGAACTTGCTCTCTTACCTACACCTGTCCCAGAGCTCTCTTCCATGAATGAGCAACCCAGATTGTGCATCTCCTCCCGCCCCCATCTTTTCCCTCTGGAGATTCAGTCTGCAGGTGGGAGGAGCCCTTCCATCCCAACCTGGAGATATGTGCAACCCTCTCCTTGGAAAGGCTTTTCCTCAGCATCAACCTCCAGCCCCAATTACAGGAAGCCTGTGTAGTTTGTTCTTGCTTATTTCATGCTGCAACATTCTTATTCCTGGTCTCTCAGCTCTGAAGGGCTCACAAGGCTGCAGAGTTTAAGACTTTAGATTGGTTTAGAGTTAGAGGCCTTCACCAAGCAAAAATTCTTTGAGCATTGGTTTTCTTATTTATAAAAAGAACAGAAAGTGGAGGGTAAACAATGTACCTATTTCAGGCCGGGGATATAGCTCAGAGGCACAGCACCTGCCTGTCCAGCGCAAGGTTCTAAGTTCAATTCCAGGAACCAAAACCAAAACAAAACAATATACCTATTTCATAGACACAACTATAGGGATGTGAAAGGCACTCAGGACAGTAGCTGTCACAAAGGTAGAGTAAACATTATCTGTTGTCATTGTTGCCCCTTATACCAACCTAAGAAGCAGGCAGGATGACCATTATCTCTTTGCCACCCAGAGGCAGAGGCAGAGTGGCAACCACAGGTCTCCTGCAGGTCTCCTCACTCTCTGTGTCTGCTCTTCTAATCCCCTGACTGGAATGACCCTGATCTTGGCAAGTGGTTGAGTCACCTCCCTAGGTCTTGGCTGCTTGGCCTCCATAGTGTCTCCTTGGGGACATACCATGCTGTTAGTTCCTTGGGAAAAATAGTGGAGCAGAGTTTAGGACAAGGAACATGAGAGGCCCAGAGAGGAGGAGAAAGGGGGTTTCTAGTGTTCAGCTCCCCATCTCTTGTCCTTTCCGCATCTCCATGTTCCGGAGTCACAACAGGAAAATCAATTTCTCTGGGTTTGGGACCCAAATTGTTCAGAAACCTCTCAGACTTTAATCTGACTGCTCTATTAGTTCTGCTGATCTGAACGCAGATGTAAGGGATCATAGTGGGGAAGGATTAGTCACACACGCTTTGAAATCAGGCAGACCTCAGTTCCACTACTGGTTCCTCTATCTGGTCTCAGTCCTGGCCCAGCTGAGTAACTTTGGAAAATTATTTAACTTCTATGAGCCTTAGTTTTCCTATTTGAGGAACAGTATAAAATTTACTGGGCCTGAAAGTCTATAGAGGGGGTATTCATTCATTTTACCTATCCCTGATCCAAACATTCATTCATTAATCAGTGAAAATTTATTGAGGACCTACAACAGAGTAGGTCCTGTGCTGAGTGTTGGGAAGATAACTACTATAATGATTCATGCTTATCTGGGGATTATCATGGAAACAATTTTTTTTTTAAATTTATATATTTGGTAGAGGGTCTCACTACTTGGACTTGTAGTGATCCTCCTGTTTTCAGCCTCCCTGGCACTGGGATTATAGGCATGTGCCACCACACCTGGTCTCAGTAGCTGGCTCAGCTGTCCCTGGGTGCAGGGCCAACAAGGCATGTGGTACCAGAGATTGAACCCTTATCCATTTGCTTAAGCAGGCACTTAGTCTGCTGAGCTGTCTTGCTGGCCCTTATCTGGGGATTAGCATGTGCCAGCCATTTGTTCTTAGCACTTTACAGGAATTTCCTTACCTAACAGTGATTCTGTCTTCAAGAACCATGAATAAATGGAAGAGAAAATTAAGATCCCAAAGGATGTCTTAGTAAGATGGGTTGAATCAGAAGAGAAATAAAGCATGAAAAAAGGTCAAATTAAACACTTGAATTCATGACACCAACTGTACACAGGATACGAAGAAAAGGTGATCTCACTACTTCATATTGGAAAGAAAAGGGCTGGAGAGATGGCTCAGTGGTCTAAAGCACCTACTTGGAACTAGCTTGGCAAAGCATCAGGGACTGCGGTTCGATCCCCCAGCACCACATGCCAGCCAGCCCCGCCCCCTGGTGGGCTGAGCTGGCCACACACACACACACCACACTCTCTCACTCTCTCTC